GACCCAGAGAATGGTATCATTACTTTGTTGCCAAAAGGGGATAAACCTCGCCAGTTTATGAAAAATTAGCGACCTATCACCTTGTTGAATATCTCATATAAAATTGCCTTTGCCTGTATTGCTGAGAGGCTGAAACAGTGCCTTTCTCATGTAATCAATGACAGTCAAAAAGGCTTTATGACATGTCACTTCATTGATGAAAACATCCGTATGATGTACGATTTACTTAATTTTACAGAGACTAATGATATTCCCGGTGTCATGCTCTCTATCGATTTTGAAAAAGCTTTTGGTTCAGTTTCACATGATTTTATTTATAGCGTTTTAAATGACTTTAATGTTGGTCCATCAATTATTCGATGGGTTAAACTGTTTTATAATCACGCTTCCTCTTCAGTTTAGGTTAATGGGTTTCTTTCAGAATCATTTATGGTAGAGCAAGGTTGTAGGTAAGGTGATGGCTTAAGCCCTTATTTGTTTCTTTATGCGCTGAGGTTTTGTCCATGATGTTATACAATGATCAGAATGTACAGGGCATGAAAGTAAGCAACAAGGAATGCCTAATATCCCACTATGCTGATGACATATTACTTTTTTAAGATGGTACAGAGAGATCTATGTATAATGCGTTCGGTATCTTGGACTGCTTCGCAAGTATGTCGGGGTTGTGAGTTAATGTCGATGAAACTGGTGTTGTTTGGATAGGTCGAAAGAAACGTTCCTCGGACAGATTGTGTGAGATTATTAAACTCCACTGGATAGAGCCAAATGACACATTCAAAATATTAGGTATTTCTTTCTCAACTAATCTGGAGTCCACGGTGTCGATTAATTATAACTCAGTCATTTCAAGACTGAGAAAGTTTATAGCTCAGTGGTCCAAACGGAACCTTACGGTCCTCGGACAAGTGACTGTAGTGAAGTCACTTCTCATGTCTAAACTTACTTATTTTATTCTTACCTTACCGGATCCTTCAGTGGATATTGTAAAAGAGTCGAATGTTATGTTTTTTAACTTCCTCTGGAAAGGACAGGATCATGTTTCAAGAAGTCAAATGATTCAAGACGATAAACAGGGTGGTTTACAAATGGTTGACGTTAAGGCCTATATGGATGCTCTGAAAATTACATGGTTACGTCGTCTCTTAGTGTAAGAATGTTCGGGATGGGCATACCTGTGTCGAAGAATATTTGATATTAACCATTTGTTGTTTATAGAAGGTGGCTTAATGGATTCATTTCCATCTCGAAAAACCCTGTTTTGGGGCAATCAATTTTGGGTTGACGTTTTAACCTCTTTTACTGTGGTCCATAAACCATTAACTAATGTAGAGGTTTTAAAAACAACACTTTGGTATAACAATCAAATTAAGATTGGCAATAAGAGTATTCATCATAAGCACTGGTCTGCAGCTGGTATTGTTTGCATATGTGATCTTTTAGATGATATGGGTATTTCCTTTTACGCCTAAGTTAGTAGAAAAGTATTAAAGTAAAAGTAAAAGTAAAAGTGTTATGAGAAACACAGTTAATAATGTGTCCAAATTGGGGGAACAATGACCCACGTTTGGATTTCAAATTTTAGTTCCTCTGTCACACTTTGTTATCAAACTTCATGAAATGACCCATATGAAAGTTTCATCAAAGTACCAAGCTGAAGTCAATGAACAAACAAATATGTGTAAAGAACCTACAGTATGGAGAAAAATTGTACCTTTAATCATGTCAGACGACCCCTGATAACATCATCATGCCTTCATTATTTTAGTTTGATCTGTACATAAGGGTCTGCAGTCATCACATAATGTCAATTTTGTCTAAACACTTCCCTTTTTAGCTACATGTACATGTATGTGCCAAGTTTCAACTCAATCGGACATGCACTTCAAGAGACATACATGTAGGGCTCTAAAGAATGTAACTTTAATGTGCCAGGGTTTGGTTCAGAATGATGTGGCTTTCACCACCGCCAACGAAGAAATTAAGAAGCAACGAGCTGTCGGCGGGCACAGTAGAAATATTTAATATTAATTATTAACTGATTTAGACACCCATACAACAAAGTAATAAGTAATAGAGGCAAAATTGTTATTTTCAAGTGACTCCGCATTTCCAGATAAAAATAATACCAGAATAAATCCACACCATCCCTGCAGAAAAAACTCTCCCAAGAGTGATTGACAGCTCTATTGTCCCGGTAGACGCAATGCCAATCGTAAAAGTATTTGGGTCTGGGTGACATTATCTTTGAAGATGCCACCAGTTCTAGGAGGACTTGCCCGACAGCTTTAGGCAATTTATAAATTCATTCTTTGCAAGCAAAGCAGTCATTGGTGGACTTCCAACACTCACAGAGTTATGTTATGTTGCCTTGAAACAGTTTTACCAAGGAGAATCCTGGGCCTGCTCAGGCCAGCTTCCTGGCTGCAAGCCTGACTTTTTTTTTAAGAAGTGTGCAGAGTTACTTGGAAGTACAGCCCGGGAGAAATTAAATAATGCTCTTTTGCATCCTTTTCCTGAAATTAAAGATGAATAATGCGCAATGTACATACATGTATCTCCCAGGCCTGCAATTTGTTTATAACTTCTTCCACAGTACTTCTGATCTATCTCTCACAAAAAAGAATTATCCTGCTGAGAAATCCAAATCCACGTAAATACATGTACATATTTCACAACCACACAACGCACAACTGCACGCAATTTGCTGGATTTTACAACGAATTGCAAAAGTTGCAAAAGTTTTCGGGTTATTTTTGTATTAAAAATATTTACATTTGAAATGCACAGATCTCCTATATTGGTGAAGTGGTTGATTATTTCCAACAGTAGAGTAATAGGTGTTTGAAGAATCCCAGCTAGGAAATGATGACCACATAGTTGCTCACAATGCAAACAGTCCACAGTTGAGAACGCGAACAGCGAAAACTGGGCAATCAGCTGTTAGATCAGATACTTACTGTTGAGGGGTAGCCCTCCGTGGTAGTTCGACTGGCTTCCTTTGTATACACATAATCCCCCTGGCTCCCTGAACACACGATTGTTAAAGGAACATGGGCAGAACTTGGGACGTTCGCATGTGTGGGGACGGGCACGCCGGCGAACGCTTAAAATATTTTTGACGCCTCACCTAAGCACGATTGGATGTAGCGAGAATTTAGAATTGTTATGCAATAAGCACTGTAAGCTCAGTGCTTGTCCGAGAGCTTGCGAAAAAACTTCACAAGCTTACTCGGTTGGGACTCGAACCCACAACCTCCTGAGCATACAGTGCTTATTAATATATGTTGGGTAAGGGCAAACCTGTTATATATAATTAACATCTCCCCAATGCAAAAAATGCATCTTGAAAAATAGTTCACGGAACCCGCTGCTTCATTTGACTCGGACCGGCCAGCCGACCCCGGCAAGCTCGGTGGTCGAGTGGTTAAGACATCTGCACTGGTAAGCAGGAAGTCGTGGGTTC